GGTTTTTGTTGATTTTTGAATGTCCGGTTTTAGCAGGTTTAATCAGTTTTGTGCCGACCGCCAACTCACGGTCCTTTTTGTGTTTTCTTTCTGTTTGCGTTTTCATTAAATCTCCTTTTGATGCATCTTGTAAACCCTTGTTCAAATAGATAGTAATGCCAGCTGGCTGACTCACTCGACAGCATTTGTGCCATTTTTATTTTGTTCACCTGCCTTTATTCTCAGCTTCCTAGCGAGGGAACGAGTTTATTGTCAGCGCTGTGTCGTGTATGTTCGAATTCGTCCCGTTGACTTCGCTGTTTTGTGGCAATGTTCATGAACGAACTAGTTCACCTACGAACACTTGTACAGCAGAAAACTTCTGGACTTCAGTGTTTTACAAAATGTAGGCAGCTTGCTGAGTCACAGTGGAGTTGGTGGTTTCATGGCTAATACCACTTGGCTCAATCTCAATCAGGTATAGTTAGCATAACTAGACCACGTGAAACTCAAGTACTTCTGGTGGGCTTGGTGTGACCTCAGATACCTTAATTATTTTAATTAGACACGACTTAATTACCACCAATTACATTTAATTAGTCCTGTCTCGGTAAGTAGTAATTGTGATCTTCTTGAGCTCGACTTGACTAGCTTTATTGGTAGTTGAACTTAGATTGCCTTTTCTGTGGCTTTCCGATGCTGATAGTTTCCCGGTGACGCGAACCCCCGCAAAAATTGATACGGTAAAAGCTTGAGTGTCAATTCGGATTTCACGGGACCGGAAAAAATTACCCTATTAACCCAATGCCAATATATAGAAAAAGGCATCAAGAAAAATATAGCCCCAGAAAGTTCTTGCGATCACTTTTTAATGTACCATATAAGTTCCACACTTCAGATTTGTTTTCGAAAGCACGTATAAGCCGTGTGCTTAACTTTCATGATAAAAAGTTTTTCCCTGAGCTATGTCTAATCTAGCGACAAAAAAAAAAAAACGCGCAATCGTATAGGCATTAGTCACTAGAACACTTCAGATTTGTTTTCGAAAGCAGATATAAGCCGTGTGTTTAACTTTCATGATAAAACGTTTTTCCCTGAGCTATGTCTAATCTAGCGACAAAAAAAAAAAAAAAACGCGCAATCGTATGGGCAGTAGTCACATAGAACAACGGAAGGTGGTCACTGCGCGAGCGAAGTATTTTATGCAGAGCATATCCCACGCACTGCCGAACCTTGTGAACTCCCATTTCATAAATTATACAATGAAATACCAATAACTTCTGCACGAACACTGCGTGAGCATTTCATCGATCCCCGCTCACATGGTGAAAAGTGTAATGTCTCGCTTTCTATCAGCCCGCCTTGGTGTGGCTACGGTGCTCGGCTGCTGAACTGAAGGTCGCGGGTTCGATTCCGGCCGTGGTGGTCGCACTTTAACGGAGGAGAAATGCTAGCGGCCCGTGTACTGTGCGCTGTCAGTGCACGCTAAAGAACACCAGATGGCCGAAATTTCGGGAGACCTCTATTGCGGCGTCTCTTACAATCAATCCTAGTTTTGAGAAGTAAAACCCCAGATATTAAGAAAAATCGCCTTTTTTTTTCATTTTTCATTGCTTGTTTTTCTTTGTTCTTGCTTTGCATGATCATAAACAGTTTGTATTTTGATTATGTTTCCTGCGTGGGTTTCTTTTTTTTCTGTTTTTTTTTCGAACATATGTCTTATCGCTGCCTGCATGAGGGGCTTCTGTGAAGTTGCTTGTGTTTCAGCGACTTTTAGCTACAGTCTTCTCCATATCGTTGATGAATATAAAAAAAAAATCGTTAGTAAAGGCCGCCATTTTTTGTCATCCCTGAGTTGCGTCTTCTTTCCCAATGCGATCACAGCTCAAGACTACCTTGTCTAAAGCAGTGACGAATCCCTTATTGCCTACCACTACCACCAACATCGACACGCGTATAAGTGGCAGTGATTTCCTCGCTGGCCGGCAACTAATCGTTCTTCCATCACAATGTATACACTAATCGTTCTTCCATCACAATGTCTACATGACAATGTACACATAAAACTCGCTAGCTATAGCTAGCGAGTTTTATGACAGCATGCGGGCCGCGTCTGAAGCGCTTTTTCACCATGTTTGATTTCTGTGATTGAGTGTCGCGTTCGCTGTGGACGAAACCATGCTCTGAGGCCACACATGCGAGCTATATATCTCCAAAGTCGAAACAAAACTGCTCAGTGTCGTATCTGCATGCTGCCGAATAATCGATGGCGACTACGCAATTTTTGATGGCACGCGGCAAAGACCTGACTTCTTCTTGACGCTGTTGACGCGATCAGATAGCATCCACAGAATTCACGTGCGCTGAAACTAAAAAAAAAAAAAATAATGCCACAGCCAGTTTATCCTCAGTCGCCAACCACGTGGTTGGTGTAATATTGCAGACGGCGACCATTCTGCAAGCACGGGGCCGTTTCGGTAGGACTGCCCGTACGCAGCGCTACGAAAAACACGGTCACCAGCGCCCTCGTCGCACATCTGGCTGGCTCTTGCGCTTACTGGGCAGTGCAAAGATAGTTGTTCGGTGTCGAGGCCCGGTTTCCTGAAAAAATCATGGTCCTGCAAACATGGTCGTCGGCAGAATTTTTTTCTTGGGGGCGCACCTGTGAAGCTTCGGGGGTGCAAGTGCCTTTTAGCACCCCCCTGCCGACATCCATGCCTGAAAAGCCTTTTTCGCCAGTCCACATTTCACAAAAAGTAGAAAGTTCACCAAATCGAACTGCGGGTACGATGTAGAAGTTTCACTTCTTTTTGGCGCGCCGCAACTTGCAAGAACAAGCGCGCGTCGCCCGACATCGAGTTCGAGGTATGCCGCGACGTCCGTTCTGTGGCGCCTAAACGCGCTAAACTTGGGCACACATAAGCGACGAAGTGCTTACGCGATCAATTTAACCACTAAGGTGAGTATCTTACGATCAGTGGTGTAAAACTTGTTTTACCTGGCACGAATGGCCCAGTCGCTTTCCGTCATCTATTCAGTTGCGTTCCGCCTTCAGCTCGCTTGCTGAGCGTTGAACTGTTTCATTACGCATCTTCGAAAGTTCTGCGATGGCGTCAGTGGCGGATCCAGGGGGGGGGGGGGGGGGGCGGTAGGGGCGATCACCCTTTCCCAAACCCTCTCAACCCCCCCTCCCCCCCGTTCTCTTCAGTGCTTGCCGTTCATCTTCCATCCTCAATCAGGACAAATGAGCGGGACCACTTTGAGCACACGTTAACAGTATTCATGCTCTGAGAAAGTTTTTGTGGTAGTAAAAACAAAGAATGACAACGCCCCTTTTTCAGTGTTACTGCAAGCGACCCCCCCCCCCCCCCAAAAAAAAAAAAAATGAGTGGCTGGATCCACCCCTGCTTGACGTTGTCTTCCCTTGGTATATACTGCAAATTGGGAAACATGCGTGTTCACTTTCGTGGTGTACAGCCGAAGGCAAAACAAACCTGGAAATGGCCAGTACCAGCATTTAACGATTCACTTATTGTAAGACGCAGGTGTTCCTATGAGAGCCGTAGGTAGTATGCGTGGTTAATTATACACGCGCCTTTTCAGTCTGCACGGCGCGCACCGCCGGTCAGAGACCCTGCTTGGCTTCGTAATCAAGGTTACCACTGTTCTCTATCGAGTCTGTAGCGCTAAATAATAATATCAGAGACCGGTCGGCTTTGGATAGCGCGAGTAATTAACTTACCCAACTCGTTCGACGGCCCGTATCCAGCACTCTCGCCTTTCTGCTTATCTGTACGACAGCCAGTAGAACTGAACGTTGCTATCCAGTCCTTTGCGTCCTTTACTGGCGAGTTACCCAGCAAACACTTCATGGCGGTTCGGCAGCGCGTCCAATCAGCGGAGAAAAATGCATAGCTGTCCGTACGAGTGTTAAATGCGCAAAACACACGCAATTTAAACCGTTGTTTCGCACTCGTTGTTTCGCATTGGGTTCTGCAGTACACCGATGTGCTAAAATGTTTCAAAAGGCGGGCGAGTTCATGATTCTTAAAGATTTGATGTCGGAGTATAGCGAGGATACCACCCGTACAGGTGGCGGGACGTCTAGAAGTTTATTATATTTTGTTCAGTTGGGTCGAGCTAATCTTTTAGAATCAAACTTCCGTGCAAGGAAATCGGGCTTTGCACTACCCAATACTGCTTCCACAGGTGGCGCTACGCATTATGCGAAACGAAACTTACTGTATATGCTACCTTTAGATAGCATATACAGTAACTCTATGCGAAACTTTCATCTGACCTTTCTTGCGTCGCTTCGTTGATTGATTTGTAGGGTTTAACGTTCCAAAGCCACCATATGATTATGAGAGACGCCGTAGTGGAGGGCTCCGGAAATTTTGACCACCTGGGGTTCTTTAACGTGCACCCAAATCTGAGCACACGGGCCTACAACATTTCCGCCTCCATCGGAAATGCAGCCGCCGCCGCCGGGATTCGAACCCGCGACCTGCGGGTCAGCAGCCGAGTACTATAGCCACTAGACCACCGCGGCGGGGCTTGCGTCGCTTCGTGCTTGGCACGCTACGAGGGTCATTAAATATTCTGCGGTCCAACATGACCAAATTAACAAGAATTTGATGCCATTGAACAATACACATGCTACCTGGTACAAAAAAAACACGCCCCAATAATTCGATTTTCTACATGGACGGGGTTAAATTTTCGAGCTTTTCTCTTCTTACTGTATGATGATGATAATGATGAAAACTTTATTTCGATCCAGAGATTATGCAAGAGACACCCCACGCCGCCTGGCTAGTCCCACGTAGTGACCACCAAGCCAGACTCTACATATTTTGAACGGTACCGCATGCATGCTTTTGAAGTGGTAACTTGTCTAATCTTGACCATAGGACATCCAGTGTTCTGTACGCAAGTTTCACTGTCATGGCTGAAAAATAAAAGGTTTGAACGCGATGTGTGGCGCACAAGTTATAAGGCAGACCAATGCACGAACAGAGTTCTCGAAGTGCAAGTGCTTCCTTTATTGATCACTCTCCAAATGCAACGTAGTCTTCAGATCACATAAAAAAACCGTTTTCCCACATTTAGCTACGACAAATACCTGCAGGTCTTAGAATAGGTGCTTTTGTAAGTATGAACTTCTAAATTCCGTGCTTCAGCTCGTCAGTTCATCTTACAAAGATTTGTCACTCTTTGCTACAACTCATATCAAATAAAGATATTTACATGGTACGGCATAAGGGACACCAGGCAGATTGACGAGATACTAATCATGTCCTGTGAAAAGCATGGGATGAGCAGAGGCACAGGGACACGTGACAATAAGGTGCATACCTTCTCGAGGACATTCAACCATGATGACAGTGAATGGATATGTGCTTCAAGTACAGCCCGTTGCTTTCTACATTTGTCTGAGCACTCTCTCAATGACAAATTTTCCACAAACTGTTATTCTACTGAGGCAGCCTAGGCTCTGGGCCACGTCACTTTCTTTAAATGAAAATATTCATAGCACTACATGGCAGAAAGTCGCACCGTGGAGTAGCCATACTTGTTAAGACATAACAGCAAGCATTTAGCTGGTAAGAGCATCACATCTGCCATGGTGATGTCCTATGAATTACATAAGCATAACTATTCACAGATGACGCTTGTGGGCTTGATCTCATCCGATGGCTTTTAATGAAGCTCCATTGTTTTCTGATGAATTCTCTATTATTTGTAGTACAGACATCAAGGACCAGACTGTTTTAATTTTATATTTGCCTAACAGTCTAATTGCATAAAAAAATGTAGAGATAAATGCCTCGTTCGACAGTCATACAGCATCCTGAATATGTTCCTTATCCGACAAAGAAGTTTCTTAGTGGACACCCTTTGGCAATGAGCCCTGTTGGGTAACCGATACTGACATGTGGCTAAGCCTCACCAATCAGCTTGCTCTATCTTCCACTACCACACTGCTTTACATTTTCTTCGATGGTCATCGCCTCACTAGCAGCACGTGTTGAGCAGTAGCTATGACGCACAGTCCTTCAGAACCACGCGACAATAAATATGACTCTCAGTTTCCCTTCTCTAACCAGTCTGTCAACGTTAGCTGTCTTAACACTCTGTGCCTTCTTAAGACACCTGGCACTGCAAACAGGTAAACAAAAAAAGGGAAAAAAAAGAAAATATATATATAAGGATTGAGATGTTTGCTCTTCTTTTTGCTTCAATGAGGTCTGCGCAATGCTGTCCATTTGTAATTGGCATTCCTGGAACGCTCACTTCAATCAGTGCAAGGTGTAAACTGTGCAATGACTAAGTCCTGTTCCCCCGCTTCCCCCCTCCGTGCGTAGATATCACCTTGACATTGCCTTCTACCACGTAAGGCTACAGGTGTTCTGTGATAGAGCAAGCAGCAATGTGCTGTATTATCCCAGTGAACAAAAAGACACAGGGAAATGGGCAAAACGAAGACAGCACAGTTGGAAAAGGGGGATAGCGGCTGGCAACAGTGTGGCAGGAGGGGCTTGTGTAGCAATTTTACGTGGACATGATGGTTTTGCGCTCTGTGAAGAAGCCCTTGAGTACAAAGACTTGTCCAATGAAAATGGCCAGCATGGCTACAGTTTCACCAATCGACCAGTAAAGCACTCGTGCATTCAGGTCTTCGGCACGCTTGCGGCCCTGTGCCTCACGCAGCCGGTGGTGCGTCTGGTAGTCCACAATGGTGTTCAGGTTATTATGCATATTGTCAGATGAAGACTCCATCTGCAAAGCAGCACAAACCAAGATCAGACAGACTTAACAAATGCGAAGGGGTGCCAAGGCTTCACAAGTTTTGCAAATTTGCTTTCAATGATCTATACACAGCTTCACTTGGTCCAATATTCTATAAACAGTGGTTGTTTATCTCCATTAACATACATATAGAACTATGTGTGTTGATCTGAACATCAAAGAAAGAGGTTAGGCTGCTGCGAGTAGCCATGTGACGGAAGCACGTAGAAGTTGGGAAGGCTGCTTCAACACTGAAATTAGCCTAACCAGAACACTGGAACCACTGGGCCTAATGTTTGACTATGCAGAAAGTCACTTTAATGTTTCTAAGAGGTAAGAATTACTGCAGATGATGCACTTTTACGAAGGCAAGCTTTCTGAAGGAAGAACAAGCAACATATGCACATTCTATGTTCAACTGCCAAACTTCCCATTTTGCGACAAAGTGATTCGAGTTCAGGCAAAACACCGAGACTGCTTAGTTTTCTCCCAGCACGGTGACCAATAAGTCAGTGACCACATTTTTCTGATACCCAATCCGCAATGACTCATGTTCTTTTTTGTAAATTTTATTTTGGAGAAAATACACAACTATGCAAATATAGCTGCCCTTTTACAGCAAAGATATGAAAGAAATTTTCAGAACAATCCTCACATGGCAACACTGGGTGCAGTATCAGATTTTAAAGCAAGGTCAACAACTTAAAAGGAAATGTGATTCGACAAAAAGTTTCGTTAATCAGTAGCCTAAGGCACTTTATTTTTTGTTGTTTACATAGGCTTCTATGCTGATTTCAAATACATAATTAGTTTTATAGTAAGCTCCACCGTTTTCATTTTCTACCATGACTATGTGAAAAGTATAATTCATTTTGGGCAAACTTCTTATGCCACATAATGTTTAAGAATCTGAGCCATTGATGGCTCGTATTGCTTCACATTAACTTTAGAATGCAAACAACTATCAAGAAAGTGTGTATGAGAGATTTTAATGGACAACAAAAAATGTAATGTGATAATTGTCAAAATCCTATGCTCATACTAATTGCTTGCTTTCGGTTTTAATAACTATACAGGCAATGTCAAGTTTTAAAGAATTTACTTGCACTCCTTACATGATAAGATATATGTGGGCGAAATTTCATTCTGAGCTGGCTATCAGAAGCACCAAAAACATGAAGTCTAAATTCAAGAAGTTGCCAAAAAATTGATGTTGGGATAACACATTTTAAAGGTACAAATCAAAGCTCACCTATATGGAAAAGATATGTTTTTTTCTTAATGATTTGCTATATCATGAGAGCTTGGCAATCATTATTATTTTAAGCATCTGGCTTTAGCGAACTCCTTATGTAAAATTGAATGACAGGCAGCCAGGTGACAATTTCCAGGGGACTCAAGACAATGAGTTTTTTAGTTTTTAGTAGCCACCTTGTGCTCCTTAAAGGTGATTTTAACCTACTTCGAGTTTCATTACAATCTTCATTTTCCTTGCGAAAGTAGAGGAACTAAACTTGTAAAAGCAAATAAATAAAACGATATGTACGTAATTTTAGGAGTAGCTTGCGTTTTTCGACTCTAATCTCCCCTCAACCAACGTTATGCATGGAATATTTATATTGAGAAAAATTAACAATGGTTAAAATGGTTATCCTACATTAATATCACTATTATAGACATTCTTATGCAGTTCTTATAGCCAGAAGTTGCTTGTATCATACTTCACGTCACCTTTTAGAAACCATAGGTTAAATATTTGCAACGACTTCATACAACTACAGCATTAAAACAGTTTCTGAGGTCCAGAGGCTCATAAAGGCAGAAAATTAGCCATGGTTCAGCTGCAGATGTAGCCTTGACTTTATCTAACAGTTTCAAATCTTACTGGTTAATGATGTAGTTTTCTGTATAGCAAGTGTTTTCCGATTTCTGGTCCTAGATTTACAAGCAATTGGTGGCCTTGATTGTAAGGATAAGGGTCAAATAAATAGAGAAAAAGGGCAAGGTAACCTCAGCACTATGCTAATCTTGGTGAGAAAACACAGAATTGTTTATTTTTAAAGTCTGCCACATCACCACTTCTTTGTATGGATACCTTTCAAAAGCAAATCTATCGCCTCCCTTGGCAAATACATGACTCGCTTTAGGCGGCGACAAAGGATGTTGCAAGGAAATACTAGAGTGGAAATGACAAACCAATACTGAAGCCCGACCTCTGCCATCTATCTTTGCCATTGTACCTCCGCCAGAGGTGCAATAAAACATATACTTGTAGTAAAGAAGACAGTATTTCCTTCACACACCTTACAAGTTTAAGACGGTGAATTGTTCCAGACAGTTACAGCACTTACTCAATGTATCTCCTTGTGTTACTGGTTTAATAAAAAAGCCTCAAAGTTTGAAAAGTTTCATTAGAGATCATGTCACCAAATAATGATCCACATGCATTAAAGCAATCATTTTATAATTACCTTGCATTTACTGTCAGCACAACAAAAGCACTTGATCTCTATTCCAGCATCACAAGAGAAGGCTATGTTTTTTTAGAAAAAGCAGAGCCCAATGGAGGCTTCACATTTGCTGCCGAGAGGTTGCGAGTGCCTTGACTCTAGAATTCTTTAGAAGCTCCTTTGGGGCGACAGAAGCCTACAGCTACCTCAATGACGATCGTGAGGAGTTCACAAGCACCTTGGTCATGGCCGTGTAGTGTTCGCCGAGTCCAGGCAGGGGCTTCTCCTCGCCAACCTGGAAGTTCATGTATACCATCTTGTGCGAGAAGGTGGAGAATTCATTGGAGAAGCAGGCTGTGTACGTGCCCGTTGTCTTCGGGTTGATCTTGACTGTGTCAAACTGCTTCTTCACACCCTGGTACAGCGTCTCATCATTCGGTCCTTTCAACGTCATGTCCACATCGTAGTGGCCTCCCGTGACCACCTGCGCGAAGGAGCGAATACTGTAAGCAGGGCTGACCTTTACAGCGCTTAGAAGTTATGGCTATGACCTTCAAAAGAAGAAGAAGAAAAAAATGATAATCCATACACTTTAGAAATGCCAGAGAAGGTCTACGTACAGTGAAAATCCCTTTGTAAGACACACTGATATAAGAGACAAATGGGTGTAACAGACACCAGCATGTCTACTGTAAAATACTGGGGATATGAAAATGCAGACATGGGAGACATGGGCCCCTGTTTCTAGAAGACATCTCGTATAAAAAACAAGCATTGCTGCCCAGAGCATGCCTCTCATAAAGGGGTTCAACTGTACCAATGCTACTCATTTTAAACATTTCAGATGGAATGATATGCTTTGCATCATGTGAGTCGGTCTTCATACATCTTAAACATGACCATATACATCATGGACTCTCTGCAACATGAACTTAAAAAGAAAACAATCTGATCAGAATTCTTATTACCTATAATTACATGGAAGCACAAGGTGCATTATGAACTTTTAAGGGGGCCCTGCAACATTTTTTTGAGTGGTCAGAAGAAAACACTGCCAAAATGAAGTCGAGGCTCTTGAGAACACGAGAGCCAAATATTGTAGCGCAGCACGCAGCCTGGCATTCAAAATAAATTTTCAAGGTCATCTAAAGATTGCTTTCCCTTCTCTTGACAAATGACACTACAAGCTCAAAATTACTCGTCACAACCACTGTATCACCCATTGGCTGATTTGAGCATGCTGCACTCGGCCATACAGGGGCTGCCGCGAGAGGCCACGACTTCTTCAGGTGCGCGCCCGCTATCGTACTGAAAAGCCCCATATTTGAATTAAAAAAATTGAGAAAAAGAGCTCAAGGTCACGGGGCACGCGTGGCGTATTTTCCTTCCACGTGGAAAATACTGCAAAACTTTTGCAGTCTTTCCAGCCACACCAGTCTAAAACTATATTACCCATTTTTGGTGCCACAAAGAAAAAAAACTGTGCTAGAACGCCTACAGAATATTTATTTTTCTCTACTGACACTCTCTACCTAAAACACTAATTAGCCATGATACAATAAACTTACATTAAGTTAATTTGACTTAATATACATTGAAAAACATTTTCGTCAATCGAAAAATGTTTTCAGAAAAAAAGTTATACAATACCAAGTTGAAAAAAAAAAGACTTTTCAGACAAGAAGTTCTTTAAAAATAAACTATTGAAGAGTTAATTCACAACAAAAAGAAAGAAAAAAGCCATGCAACGTAAAATTCTTACTCCCAATAATCCCACACATGAAAGCCCCTAGTAGCCAAACATCGCATGCAATTATTACATATAGGAGGAATATAGACCCAGGCAGTACTTTAATAACTAATGTTCACTCAGAAGGGTAATAATTCGGGCTTGTTTGTTATTCACAATTATTGTAACAGCCCTGACATCACACATTGATACTAAGTGCCACAAAAGGAAGTTATACAACAGATGCAGGATCTCTTTGAGATCCTAAATACGAATTTTCTTAGGCTAGCATGAATGATTACAGGTGAAGAATTTTAGGGTCACTGATACCAAATGATGAATGTGCAATGCGAAGAAACTCCCAAACCAAATATCAAGAGTTTCTTTTGTCTACAGCATAGCATGATATGTCTGTGGAGTCAAGAGTGCCATTGTTTGTTTGGACTCTATGTTCACATTTCATGTTGAACAATAAGAAGCTAGCTGTCTTAAACATCTGGCATACAGAACAATGGAAGAGTTTTGCGCTAACAAGGCACTGTTTTGTGGCACAAAAAGAGAAAATAAAACATACATGTCTTATGCTTGTTAGGCTTGAGTGATCAAGAACAAGTTCAGAGTCTTGTAATGCCCTTGGCAAGATTGTGCACGTGTTCACAGAGAGTTACACATGTATAGACCTGTAATCAGAACTATGGAAGTCCGTGGCATTTTCTCTTCAAAGGTGGATGCACGCAAGCCTGCACCAATGATCCTGCCTTTGGAGAACATTGCCAAGTGCATGAGCAGAACTACTACTTTAGTTGTGGAGGTTATTTGCTGCCGCACATCAGTTTTCTGGGTAGGGCCTCTCTGAACTTCTTAATTTGCATCATACTAGAATGTGGAGTTGTTTCGAACCAAACTGGCAGCATGAACAGTGTGGTTTGTCATTTGTTGTTCGTGGCTGAAGTCATGACCGAGTAGCAATTAAGGTACCTCACTGAAAGGACATGAAAATGTTGCCGAAGGCGGCCATCTTTTTATACGGCTATGTTGCTATGTGCCTGGTTGCCACAACAGGTGCAGGAACATAGTTTGAAAGCAGCCACCAGTGAAATTCTGCTGGTTCCCACATAAACTGCACAAAAATTTTAAAAACTTACAACCAAAGCTGAGTGGTGCCACTGTAATGCCTCGAACTTAGCCTATACGAGTACTCGCTGTACTGTGCATTTTATTACCTCGTATGTGCATGCAAACGCACGACAGAGGAAATGTGGCGTACATGTGCCTCTTTTACTGTTTCTCACGTGGTGTCCAAGAGGTGAAATGGTGCACATTTCTGGTGCAAACAGCTGTTTTTTTTTTCCTACCAGAAGGTAAGCTCGGTTTCGAGTGATGAGTTGGATGAGGAGGTTCCTATTTTTCATGGGTGCCATGAGGGGAAAAGGAGACAGGAGGTTCATTGATTGCTTGCTAGAGTCCTTGACAAACAAGCCTTTCAACAAAAGTGAAATGCAAGTAAATGGGAGTTGACAAAGTACACTTAAGCTCAAATGAGCAAACCAAGGTTGCTCTTCTGGGACAAAGGCTGCTGATGCAACCACTACCACCACCCCCTGAGGCATGCAGATGCACATGTGAACAAACCTTTCCATGCAAATGACAAGAGCTACTATATTCGAGGAATTCAAACCTGTGTAAAGTTGGTACGATGTCCAGGTAGAGCGACTGTACTTGAACAGGTTCAGAATGTCAAACGGGCTCATGTGCCATGCTTAGGCTCGAGCCTTCTAAGCAGGAATGCTTTTGTGAGATGTAGCGAGCACTTTTCCACAATTTTTTCCCTAAACTTCATTCCAGCGATATGACATTAATTACTCATTAATTTATTCCCCCAACCAGGTGCTGACAATAACACTGCAATTTTCAAAGAAGGCCACAGCATGCAGTACAAGCTGCCCTCTACTGGATTAAAAGTACTGAACCTGGCAAATAAGGTATCCTAGTCTATTTTTACCACATACAAGGAGGCTTAAAATACTGCCCCCAGATACGGCCGAATAAATGACTTGTGCAAAGATCCAAGCAGTGAGTGCACATCTAGAAACACACCTCAGGTCGTCCTAGCTCTTTTCCCATTTATATAACGCCACACAAGAGATGACGCAGAAACGCACACTGCAAATGTTAGCATAAACGCACACTCGTGCCATAACCCACTGGGCTGGACATGAAGTCGCGCGTAGATCACGAATTCGCGACACGACGTAGTCACAAAAAGAGTAGGCGTCACCGGCGGCATTTCAGATGCGATGCGAACAGTGCCTTTCATAACGATTCACTTTCGTAGCATATGACAACGCGCTAAGGCTGGCCCCCGGCACGCAGTCGAAACAGACGACGCCGGCAGCATACTGCGCCAAATTTCGACGCCTTCAGAGAAGGTCGCGTATGATACGAGGTGGCCAAGCATCACGTTGCGAACGGTTACCTGAAATTCCACTGTGGTCTGTTTGTTAGCCTCGATGTCCTCGTGAAAGCACTGTTTAGAGTTGTCCGGCAGCTCAAAAGTCAGCTCTACACCAGACGCAGTCTGCACGACGGCCACAAAAGCTATAAGCATTCGCATGGAGCACATATTGTGACGTAGTGACGAGGAAGCGCACGCATTAAATAAATAAGGGGCACTTTTGGCACCACAATAAGTCCGATTTTTCACCAACTTCCAACGTGTACAGCGGGCAGACGCAAGCGGAAGTTTGACGGCGGTACGACGGCGCTACCAGGTGACAAAAGTGTACAACTTCCGCCCAAGGCTACGCTACTGATGCTACAGCAACAACAATGCCTACAAAGCTAGCTATTACAACGCTACTAAAATAAGATTCACTGATAATCTAAGAAAACATATCTCAACTTTTTATTTATTTGAATCTCAATCAGTCAACATTGTTTGTACTGTTTCGGTTTCTGTTTCCAATTGTAAAAGAAAGGGACTCGGGCAGCTTCTCTTCACAGCGTCCATACTGCGAAACTGTGTCATATGGTGGTTTTGGGACGTTAAACCCCACATATCGATCAAACTGTGTAGCTGCGCCATAAAGCCACTGAATGAGACTTTACATAGGTTTACTGCATCCATGCTTACTGCGAGTGGATCTCGAGATACGTCATCGACACTCGCACGCCCCTCCAACGTTACTAGATCCTGCCAGTTCTCAAACTGCGGAGCTCCGCCTGACGCCGTTCCGTTGCGCTCCGCGTGGGGGCGCGCGCGACGGAGTTTGCCCGACAAGTTGCGGCAAGTCGCGACAGACACGGACGGCCGGACGACCGTTGTAAACAGCCCGCTGCAGTGTGCTTGGTAACGTTTGCGCGAGTACCCGCAGATGTTTGTGAACTGCGCTGGCAAGTGTATGAACCATGCCACGCTGTTTCGTGCCCGGGTGTAAAAGCGGGTACGATTCCGTTCTACCTTCGTGTGAGAAGAGACATTTTTTCAGGCCGCCCCGAGACGCCGAACGCCTTGCACTATGGCAGCGAGCAGTACCCAGGCAGGACAAAAAGCTTTCAAGCACGTGTTCTGTTTGTGACCTTCACTTCAGCGATGAAGACATTTCGAAAGTCTTCGAGCACAACATTTGTGGTGAGCTGGTAACGATGCCTACTCCTGACCAAATGAGTGACCAAACTCCTGACCAAATGAGTGATGAGCAAAGCTACTTCAGAGGTTCACCAGACGACAGAGTTGTGTACTACTTAGCTGGATATGTTGTACACAAAATGACCAAGCGTAAAGAGTGCCAGTTGTGTCTACAGGACGTCAGTTCAGAAGCTCCTGTCATTGGCTCTGATGCATACTTAACTACATACCGGAGCTTCAAGGAAGGCAGCCTTAGGCACCCCAGCATCAAGATGCTACACTTCATCAGAGTTGTAAATGAATCTATTTCATTTTCTCTTGATGTGGAAGGTCTCTGTGCGGACCTGTTTTGGAAGGTCTTGGACGAGTTGGATGAGTGCGATCTGACTAGGCTGGGTTGCGACCAGCACAAGTCCACGTTCACGTGTCAGGTCCTGTATTTTTTCATCGTGACACGAATGCATTTTTACGTCAGAGATGTCAACCGACGCCTTCAAACCCGCGAGAAAGTTGCCATCGCCACCAAGAAAGCTCGTCTATTGTGAAGTCGTTGAACATTTGCATTGTGTGCGTGTGCCTTGGGCCTCGGCAATAAACGCATTTCGCGGCACTGAGAATAAAAGTTCCTCTTTTTTGCTCAGTTTTTGTTTGCAGTAACGAATATCCGCAAGCATTGGCCGCACGTTTGCGGGCAGCTTCGCCGCTATAGCTTTGCTTTTCATTCCGCTCATATATATATATATATATATATGAAGTTTATTGCTACATAAACACAAAACATGCATAAGTAGCAAGGATGGCGGAATAAAAGCTGCTTAAAGGCAGCTTGACTAGTACCACCTCCCCATACAATAGCAGCAGCAACATGACAAGAATTCACACAAAAAATGCACTTGTTGACAACCTTAAAGTAGATACACAGAGCAAGGCATTAAATAAATGGAAATTTAGCTCATTCATAGAAAAAAAAACGACAGGATACTTATTTCGAAAACACAAAAATTAATGTTAACATTAATAGTAACAGTTGAAATAATGCGTATTTATAAATGTAATGTATGTAATGTAATACATAAAGCATCACCCGATTGTTCGAAGAGGTCCCTAATGGTAGTTTAAATTGGAGACGCATTGAACGAGTATTTCAAGGCAAAGAACGGCCATTTACAACGCGCGCCGCCGGCTTCCTGCTGCACAGCAACGGGCTAACCGTGGCCGCCGCGCCGTCTGGTGAGCGGAAACGAAACGGGGCCACGCATCAACGGCAGCCGCCGTGGGAGTTTGAGAACTGGCAGGATCTAGTAACGTTGCGCCCCTCGGCATGCCTGACTATAGTAGGAATGCTTTTATTTTTAATTATTTTTTTAAATAGTGCAGTGACGCACGGTCAGCCCGGGTAGCTCAGTCGGTAGAGCGTTAGGCTTTTAACCTAACGGTCCAGGGTTCAAGCCCCTGCTCGGGCGCGCATTTTTTTCTTTCTTTTTGAGGTGTTGCATCGCGTTCTAGCCACGACCTGTTTCCTGAGAAACATAGACAAAGAAAACAAAAAAAGGAAAGTGACGTTTTAGAAGCCGCACTCCCGGTCCCGCAGTAGTAAGATCCAATTAAACTATTAATTATATGCAGGGTGCACGTGTATTCTCGCATGGTGAAGTCCCTGATGAATGGAAAGTTAGCAGGATAAGCATGATCTATAAAGGAAAGGAGACAAAGATGACATAAACAACTACCGTCCTATAACAGTGACATCAGTGGTCTACAGGCTGGCGATGCAGATTACAAAGGAAAGACTGCAGGCATGGCTAGAGGATGAGGGGGTGCTGCGGGAACTGCAGAATGGGTTTCGGAAACACAGGAGGTTGGAAGACAATCTGTTCTCACTGATGCAGTGCATCGAAATAGCAGAAAAGGAACACAGACCCCTGTGGCTAGCATTTTTGGATATCAAAGGAGCGTACGATAGCGTGGTTCAAGAGGACTTGTGGGGACACACTAGGTGTGGAATACTGGACACACTAGGTGTGGAAGATGGAGTCACTAATCTTTTAAAGGATATCTATAAAGGTAACAAGGCCGTTATAAAGTGGGAAAAACAGGTATCCAAGCCTGCAGAGGTAAAACGGGGGCTTAGGCAAGGGTGTTCCCTGTCCACCTTGTTATTCATGATGTACCTACAAGGATTAGAGGCCAAATTAGAGGGAAGTGGACTGGGCTTCAACCTCTCTTTAGTCAAACAAGGAAAACTCATTGATCAGGCCCTACCAGCATTAATGTACGCAGATGATATAGTGCTAATGGCCGACAACAAGGAAGATCTGCAGAGATTGATGAACATCTGCGGTAATGAGGGAGGTAGGTTAGATTTTAGATTCAGTAAAGAAAAATCAGCAGTCATGATTTTTAATGATAATGAAGGTAGTGAGCTTAAAATACAGGAGGTCACGCTAGAGATGACAGATAAATACAAATATCTGGGCGTATGGATAAGCAATGGGACCGAGTACCTTAGGGAACACGAAATATACGTGACGGTGAAAGGTAACAGGAATGCAGCAGTGATGAAAAATAGGGCACTGTGGAATTACAATAGGTGTGATGTTGTGAGAGGAATATGGAAAGGGGTCATGGTTCCTGGGCTAATGTTCGGCAATGCGGTCTTGTGCATGAGATCAGAAGTTCAAGCAAGATTAGAAATTAAGCAACGTGGAATAGGTAGGCTTGCTTTAGGAGCTCACGGGAATACACCAAATCAGGGAGTACAAGGTGATATGGGATGGACATCATTTGATGGCAGGGAAGCTAGCAGCAAGATAAAGTTTGAGAAGCGCTAGAGAGAAATGGGGGAGGAGCGTTGGGCTAGGAAGGTTTTCAGCTACTTGTACATGAAGAATGTCGATACAAAATGGAAGAAGCGAACCAGGAAATTGACTGGTAAATACTTAGAAAACAGCAGGTGGCCAAACCAAAAAGAACTACCGGTTAAGAAGAAAGTGAAGGAAACGGAGACTGACATGTGGAGAATTGGCATGATTAATAAGTCCGCACTAAAGATCTATCGAACTTTTAAGCAGGAAATTGCCAAGGAAAGGATCTATGATAATACTCGGGGTAGTTCTCTACTGTTTGAGGCCAGGACGGGAGTATTGCGAACCAAGACATATCAGGCCAAATACGAAGGGGTAGACACAGTGTGCAGTGCGTGTGGAGAGGAAGAAGAAACTGCCGAACACTTGATAATGTTCTGTAAAGGGCTTCACCCTATAGTTCAGGATGATGGCGCAGAGTTTTTCAAAGCACTGGGGTTTAGGGACAGGGAGGGCAAAATAGACTTTAAGCGGGTAGAATTAACTAGAAGGAGGTTATCTGATGGTGGCTAAAGTCAAGGTACGAGTGAAAATTAAAACCTTCACTGCAAAGTACGAATCCTCAACCTCACTATTTAAAGGGGAAAAAAAAAGATAAATCTTGTGGTTAGTTCACTAAGTATTACGGCTAGGTGGCGCTAGCCGCCGCCCGATCTAAAGGGTACAGCCACATCCCCCCATCCATCCATCCATCCATCCATCCATCCGTCTGCTACTTTATGGCTGTTTTGACAGCGCTGGAATAAAAATGCCTGCATTCTGTGGTGAACTGCCGGCATATATGTGACTATTTCTTTACTTAGATTGCTGGTCAAGTAAGCTGTTCAGTGCACTTAAGTATTCATAGCACACTAGTTGGAAAACGTGGGAACCCGTAGATTTAGTGTAGGATAGCCTATAAGTTGTCGCGTCCATTTGATTGCAAAAAAAAAAAAAATCTGAACGACTTTTTGCAATATTTCTGAATAATTTTAAATTGTGCATAATAAATACGCAATATGAGTGCTTTGTTGGTCGAAATTTGACCACAAACAGTGAAGGTGACGCCCGCCAGAGCCTAGGAGGCGCTGAGCCAGCGAACAGGTAAAGCCCTTGATCTTGAGAAAGTACCGCCATCCACTGTACCAACACCACCTAGACTATTGAATAGTCTAGGTGGTGTTGACTGCACTCGCCGCCATGCGCTTGACCTCCTCTCTCACTCCTTTGCATCCCCCCCCCCCCCGGTCTCCAACACTTTTTCTGCACGATGATTGGTCCCCTTCGCGGTTGCCCTTAGAGATGC